GGGGGGGGGGGGACAAGGAGGTGGGGCCAAAAATAGCATCTATGTATTCGTCCATGATTAGGCCACATGGTTCCGTGCGGGGGATCTGATAGCAATTATAATGGCAGCTTCTGTTTGTGTGTGTGTGTGTGTGTGTGTGTGTGTGTGTGTGTGTGTGTGTGTGTGTGTGTGTGTGTGTGTGTGTTTGTGTGTCTGCACGTATGCATGGTTGTTCACCCGGATCTGTGGATTCGGCAGATTCTCGAAGCAAACAATGGTTCACTGTGCCTGAGGCTAGATTATAGCAAAGACTGCTGCCAAAGGAACAAAACCACACACACACACACACACACACACACACACACACACACACACACACACACACACACACACACACACACACACACACACACACACACACACTGTTCTCATCCATGTTTTTCACATTCATTCAGCCTTCAGCAACCGAAAAACATGTCCAATAATGTCCAACTTCAGAATTTAAGTTTGCATTACAAATGTCACTGTCTTTTGCTGCATCCATTACACACAATCCATTGGTTGAATTGAGCAGTACACACTTTCTGTCGCATCCCTGATTCGGACAGGAATGTGTTTTGAGCTATGGTCGAGTTCATGTTGCCTCAGCGGACTCATGCCTCAACACTTATAGCTGATACTGCGTGGGCTTATGAATTCAGCTCATGCTGTGCTGCTGCGCTCTAATCTGAAACCTTTCGCTTGTCCCTGCCCTTCTCCTTGTTGTTTGAAGGATGAATAATAAACAGAAGGAGGGCTAGAATGAGAAAGAAGGTGCAGAGGAAGAAGGTGAGGGCTCTGTACCTTGTATGCGTCCACCACCAGCTCGATGAGGTTTGGAGCCTGGAAAAGGCCTAACCTTCCCAGGTAGGAGCCAGGAAGTAAATGCACCAATGCCTAAAGAAGAAAAGGGAGATGAGGGTTAAAAAAAAAAATACTTTCTAAGTCACCCTAACTGTTAACTTAAGGGGCAACATTTGTGTTATCAGACATCATAGAGCAAACATCTCCTTAGTCCTAGAAGTTTTTTTGTTTCTCTTTTAACTATCTGAAAAACCATTGCCAAAAAAACCTTATGACCCACATGTATCAGATTACTACTAGAAATGCCATGTAATTGCCGAATGACATTTAAAATGTGTGATGTTGTGTGGGAGAGATTACCTCGTACCACTTGTACTGCTGCTTCTCCACGGCAAAGATCAAGTACATATGGTTTTCAAGCAGTTTATCAGACAATTGACCCAAACTGGGATGATCCTAAAAAAGAGACAAACAACCGACTAAATACAAAATATCATGTTTTTGAGGAAAGCATTTCTGCTAACCTCTTCCTCCCCTTCTGATGTACCATAACAAGTTTAAGTCTTCTTTTCTTCATATACAGACGTTTTTCTAAAATCAATTGGTCCACATGAGTAAATACAGCGTGTATATTAGCGTGTAACCATGTTGGCTTCAAGGAAGAGATTACACAATTTGGTAATTTTTAACATGACGCTCTTAATTTCTCAAATTTGACAAATTAACACATACATGTAAAACACGTATTGTATATTTTCGTTTGATCTTTTAAAAAAAAACAATGTGTAAAAGACATTCATCTTCATATCCAACTCTCAGCATGAAAAAAATTAAGCACATTATCAAAACTCAGTTTAACTATTCCTTTAGGTTAGAATTATTTGACTAATATTGAATCTGCAATTGATTGATGTAATGTCAACAATCTCACCTGCCTCGTGCTACCTGTGTAGACATTGTTCTCCAGGTGACACAGGCCGTCGTTAGGCGTCACTATCCCTGCCACCCGGCTATCCAGGGCGAGGTGGGACGGCTGGTCGGTCATCAGGAGCAAAAGACGTTTGGCCTCGGGTCGCCAACCCAAATCGCTCTATAGGAGGGACACAGAGGGATCAGGACCGTGTGAGGTGGTCTGTTGCTGGTGAGAAGTTTTATCGATTCTCTCATTTTTATCCCCTTATATCACTACATTTACATGGACTGATGTGGAAAATATGTGCACGCTTTATATTTTTGACTAATGTGGTGAGAAACTGCAAATTGAAAAATCGTACTCATCTGAGCTTCATTAGTTCCCGTGGTGATCAGCTCTTTCTGGAATGCCAAATCAAATGCATGCAGCAGAAAAACCCAGACAGTCACTGACTCGCTGTCTTCATGCCTGTGGCTCGTCAGTGTGAGAAAAAGGGCTGTGTGTGTGTGTGTGTGTGTGTGTGTGTGTGTGTGTGTGTGTGTGTGTGTGTGTGTGTGTGTGTGTGTGTGTGTGTGTGATTAGACGAGAGAAGCTGTGGTCTCCAAATATATGGAGATGTATGCACACATCAATTTATCATCATGAAACAGAGAGGAGGGGAGAGGTGGAGAGGAGATGCTCAAAGAAGGATTCCTGTCACATTCCTTCTCTTGAACTGAGAATCAGACTTTTCTATGTGTACAAAATACACTATGAGCCACACCTCCATATCTTAAAATGATAAATGGACTGGATGTAGTGGCTGCATAACGACACATAAGTCATTCAGTCAGCAAACACAGCTGTAGTGCTGCAGGCCTCTTCACAGGTTTGTTATGCAGCTGGCAGTGACTCATTATTCTTTTTTAATTAATACACTATTAATATATTCACCTGCTATATTGGATAACACATAATAAGAGAAAAGCATTAAGGTGAAGAGTAAAATTAGCTGTGGACATGGCTGGGCCTGTTGCTTCTGACATCATGTTTTCATTCACTCACTTCCAAAAACACATATATTCAATTTTTCAAAAAAAGGCAAATATTTTCCATGCATTATTGTAGTTTTAATTAAATATGGAAGCTGCAAAACGTTTTCTGATGGAGAAAATTATATTATTAAAGATATTAAATATACCGGACTTCTTTCTACAGTTTGATATGACTGCACACAGTACATTGATGGGTCTTTTCTCCTTAGCAACAGTCTGTTCTCCTTAGCAACGGTATGTTAATGAAAATGTACAACCTCATGAATGTCCCGAATCCAGTATTCAACTAAGTAATGTAATACATTCTAATAAAACTGTCCGTGCACACAGTTCTGATGCTAATTTGATGCTATCAATGTCGTAATCATCTGGTGGAAATCACAATAAAAAATCTGTTTGAAAAGAAGAAAAAAACCTGATGTTTTGAACAAAAATGAAATTCACGAGTTGACATCTGGATATGCAGCGATTCAGAAAAGGTAAAAACAGTATTCCAGTTTTGACTGGTTTTGAATACATCAAATAACACACACACACACACACACACACACACACACACACACACACACACACACACACACACACACACACAAACTCACGAGAATGACACTTACACACTTTCCCGTGAACAAGTTCAAAAGCATTCTGGAGCAGTGACATTTGGAGCACAACACAAACTCATTTTAATATCTCTGAGCTCTGGAAATATATTTCTCCCTGGTTAAACCACATCACACTTGTTTGAAGTTTATCTCAAATATCTGCAATATTTGACGACAGTTTGGAGAAGGAAGAAGATTAAAACAAACAACTCACACTGACATCAAATTAATGTCTGATTTCAGGGGAGTGAAAACTCACTGCCTTATAATATGTAAGGCTTTCTCAGGCTCCTATTCACCACTACAGTATCATATCAAATATAAAATGAAGTTGAAGTAAAATATATTTTTAAAATAATAATATTAATTAAAAAAATAAGATATACAAATCACCTGGTCTTGACTCAAAAGATTACAAAATTAACCACAATGAGAAACATTCAGTTAAAAACTATAATAGGGAGAAATACTGTATATCCCATTGCTGTGACATTTTGAAGCAGCTACTGCATGCATTGGTGACATAATATCAATAATTGTTTATATATATATAAACAGCGTTGCTTTAAATAAACAACTTTTACCTTTAGTTCTGACATTTAGTTTATTGAAAAAAACATCAGTGTGTGTATAAGTTATCTTTATTACATGATTATGTGTTGTGAGCCAACACAGTCTCACGGCATTTCGTGTTATAGTCAAAACATTTATCTATTGATTCGTGTTCACCAACACGATTTCGCAATTTTTTTCGTGTCACACAGACCGATTTTAAAAGCAATGTAAATAATAACAAATTAGAGGGAAAAAAATAATACGAATATTACAAAAAATACAGATTTCATTATTCTGACACAGAACGATTTTAGAAGCAATTTATTTCTATTGGTAGTATGTTTCGTGCCTGCACCAAATAATAACAAATGAGAAGGAAAAAAATATCACAACAAATACAGATTTCAGTATTCTGAGGCTCTGAGCCCCATTTCTTTTCCTCGCGGACGGCAAAAAAAACTCCGACATTATACATCCATCCATCTTCTCCCACTTATCCGTGGTCGGGTCGCGGGGGTAGCAGTTCCAGCAGAGAGCCCCAAACGTTCCTTTCCCTGGCCACATCAACCAGCTCTGACTGGGGGATCCCAATGCGCTCCCAGGCCAGCGAAGAGATATAATCCCTCCATCTGGTTCTAGGTCTACCCCTTGGTCTCCTCCCAGCTGGACGTGCCTGGAACACCTCCCTAGGGAGGCGCCCAGGTGGCATCCTAACTAGGTGCCCGAACCACCTCAACTGGCTCCTTTCGACGCGAAGGAAGAGCGGTTCAACTCCGAGTCCCTCCTGGATGACCAAACTTCTCACCTTATCCCTAAGGGAGACACCAGCCACCCTGCGGAGAAAACCCATCTCGGCCTCTTGTACCCGCGATCTCGTTCTTTCGGTCATGACCCATCCTTCATGACCATAGGTGAGGGTAGGAAGGAAAATGGCGCGGTAGACAGAGAGCTTTGCCTTCTGGCTCAGCTCCCTTTTCGTCACAACGGTGCGGTAAAGAGACTGCAGTACCGCTCCCGCTGCTCCGATTCTCCGACCCATCTCACGCTCCATTGTTCCCTCACTCGAGAACAAGACCCCGAGATACTTGAACTCCTTCACTTGGGGTAAGGACTCATTCCCTACTTGGAGTGGACAGTCCATCGGTTTCCTGCTGAGGAGGAAGGAGGTTTTTAAGTGGCGATGGAGATTATTTGTTGACCCTGCTTTAAAGGATATTTTGCCTTTACAACTGGTGCACTTTATCACTGCCTGGGTTTTGTTGAGGTGCATCCAAGTGCTGCTGCGTTTTCGCGTTTGGCTCATTTTCCA